TGAATCCTGTAATCACGAGTGTGACAATACTATAGTTTCTACTTTCCCCAGTGCCTTCAGGTGAGAGAACATTTGTGCATATGTTTACTGTCCCCAATGGATTCCAGTTTTTAACATTATAACTGGCCTTTCCTTGGCTCTCTGTCTCAAGAGTGACATGATTTGTGATCTGTACTGTGTGCTTCTTTTGTGGATCCTTCTAATTTGATGGCTAATGTGTGCATGGAGTGGATATTCAGAGAAAGAGAGAGAAAACACACATGGGCTTCTCATCTTGAAGATTTTTTAAGATCTCTTCCCGTTGTTTACTAGCTGTTATGTGACCTTTGGTCAGGTTATCTAAATAAGGTTTCTTATTGATAAGATACATATAATTCTAACATGTTCTATCTGAATTTTAACATTTTTTTGAAGGTCAAATAAGAAATACACAGGAATGTTTTACAAAATAAAAAGAGATTATACTAATGTGTCTATTGATTATTTTGGGAGGAAGAAGGAAGGCAGAAAAGACACAGTGAGGGAATCAGCTGCATGATCTTCTAATTCCTCTGATTCCAGCCATTTTTTCAAGATGGCTGCCAGTATAATCCATGAAAACCAACTATTAGAGGAAAATGGGATCACATATTTTTGTATATTAACACAGTGAACTATTGTGTGTTCTTTCAAATTATTTTAAGGAGTTTCTAAATGCTCACGCTATTCATTATGTACACTACATTTTTTTTTTACATATAGTACATTTTGATTACAGCCATGTAGAATCATGTCCAACATGCGTCATTGTAACCAGAAACTGGAAGGTAATAAGCAAAAGGAAATTAGTTGTTGCTGTAGGATAGTATCATTTATGGCTTTTTTCCCTAAATATTTCTTCACGTGTTGCTCTCTTCCTTTTTGATATTGGTTTTTTCTCTTCTTTTTAATAATAGTTCAAAATGCTTTGTTCCGCACAATTTTGATCTTTGCCTTTTAAAAAATATTTATTTATTTAATTGAGAAGAGCAAGGGGGAGTGAGCAGGGGTAGGGTGAGGGGCAGAGGGAGAAGAAGAGAGAATCCTGAAGCAGACTTCCTGCTGAGTGTGAAGCCTGATACGGGGGTGGACCCCAGGACCCTGAAATCATGACCTGAGCCAAAGTCAAGAGTTGGCCACTTAACCAACTGAGCCATGCAGGGGCCCCTATTTTGCCTTTTTTAAAAAACAAAGATATTTTTTAATTTTGTCTGTTTCTAAGTCATTAGGGACTACAAAGTTTTGCCTTTCCAAGACCTCTGTCTTTAACTTGCTTTTGCAGTTAGAGAGGTAGAAAGGAACCCCGCATCATGTAATTCACATCTGCGGTTAGAGAGGATTCTATCACTATTGGGTCTCTCTACTACATGTCATCTGCAGCAACAGCCTGCCGAAGAAAGCCCAGAGTTTCTCTCCCCTCAAGAGAACCAAATGATGGCAAAAAAAATCACTGCAGAGGGGTTGAGATGGAGGAGGGCCTTAGTTGTATTCATATCAAAGAGAACAAAGGTGTGAATGCTTCTGGAGGTCATGAAGGGAACTTCCTTCATGAACTATAATACGAAAAGAGAAATAAGGGAAAAGCCCAAAGTTGTGAATAAATTAAAAATAAGGTTTTCAAATGGATAAATACATAAAGAGGTTTTGAAATGTTGAATGAAAACGATAACCCTCTAATAAACTAGATAAGAAGAGATGGGGAGGGAGAGGGGAGGAAGAAAATGTAGAGGGGGGAAAAATCAATCCTTTTTGTGACACAAACAAATATTTAAAAACGAAATTGTCTTGGATTATTTCAGAATAATTCAGGGAACGATCACTGAAGCTGGATGTAGGATATGTGAGAGATATCCCACATAATAATATCATTGTATTATTATATTATATTATATTATATTATATTATATTATATCATTGTATTATTCTCTAATTTTTCTAAAATTGCATATTATCCTCTTGAAACTACAATTCTACTTTCCTTTTTCCCTTTTGTTATTGATGTCATCTAGTTGCCATTAAAAAACAAAACAACAACAAAAACTCTCTCTCTTCTACTTCCACTCCTGCCCTCATTCTACTGAAAATGTTAGGACCCAAACCACCAAAGGACATTCTGATTATCAATAAAATGACATAAGCTCAGCTTGTACCAAACCTGATTTCCTTACAGCATGAGGTATCATTGCCCAATGTCTTCTTAAAACTCTAGCTTCTTTTTAATTACTCACCAACATTTATATTTCTCTGACTCATCCTCTTTGCTTTTTCTTATAAATGTTAATGCTATCCAGAATTCTTTTTAAAGGATTTTTTAAAAAAAGTTATTTGTGTATTTGAAAGAGAGAGAGAGAGTGGAGCGAGTGAGAGAGAACATGAGTGGGGGAGAGGGGCAGAGGGAAAGGGTGAAGCAGACTCCCTGCTGAACAGGGAGCCAGATGTGGGATTCGATCCCAGGGCCCCAGGATCATGACCTGAGCTGAAAGCAGGCACTTAACTCACTAATCCATCTAGGCGCCCCTCTCCAGAATTTCCTTGTCTACTTCTTGTCACATCCTTACATGGGGATATGCACATCTATGTTTCAACTGTCATCCCCAGGCTGATAACCCCTAATGCATCGGCAAGTTCCAGAACTACATTCCATCTATTGTATGAACCCAAACCAGTATTTTACTTACTAGCTTCTTCCTCACCAGGCTTGTGCTTCTGCGACCATATTTTATATCTTACTTAATGGCATCATGGACTACTGTTCTCCCAAGCTGGAAACATGGTTTCTTCTTAGACCTGTCTCTCACAAATCCCTCATATCCCACCAGGTTCTCTAATCTGGCTACCTCTTCATATTCTTGTGTCATTATCTCTTAAAGTTTAAAGGAGACATAAATCTTTCGGCTCCAAATCCTACTCTTAGGGACCAATTGCATAGGTATAAAATCATCACTATATAAGAATGTAATAATATAAATTGTCATGGCTATTACACTCTTGGTCCCTCCACTACACTAGTCCTCAAGCATCAAGGGTCAAACTGATAGGTGATTCCACAGCAGTTGGAAGCTCTCAGAACAAGCTGGCTCTGATACAGGAGAGGACAAGGGTGGGAGCTCATTCCCATGACTACCAGAAGGGACGGCCCCTGAGGCTTGCAGTTTCTGTGAAGAAAGGAATTGTCCTGGACACAGAAGGGAGATACTAGCCCAGGGACAGACTGCATTCTACAGCAAACTAGGCTCTCTTGCTCCATCCGAGATGACTCCAGAAAGCTGCTCCCAATCCGGAGCTCCTGGTGGCTCCGGTTGGCTCAAGTTTCTTTTGTTGCAACTACATCCCGGTTCAACTTCTGACAAAACCCGCTCCCCTCAGACACTGGCAGGTGTGACTGCTGGACATGCTCCCCAATAAACTCTCCACATACAATTCCTGCCTCAGAGTCGCTGTCCCAGGGAGTCCAAATCAATACTGTGGTTATTGCTTCCATATCATTTGTCATGTGCCGAGAACTCTTTTGAAGTGCTTTGCCTCTCTGAACTCATGTAGTCTTTACAAAATTCTTATGTAGTAGGAAGCATTATTATCTGTAAGATCACAAAGCTGCTCAGTGGCAGAGCCAGGATGGAAAGCCAGGACTGTGAGTCCCTTTTTTTCTTTTCTTTCCTTTCTTTTTTTAGAGAGGAGAGAGATAAAGAGAATGTGAGCAGAGGAGCAGAAGGAGAGGAAGAATCTCAAGCAGACCCCCCCACTGAGCACGGAGCCCCACTTGGGGCTCAATCTCACTATTGTGAGATCATGACAGCTGAAATCAAGAGTTGGCCACTCAACCCACTGAGTCACCCGGGCGCCCCTTGAATCCATTTTCTTAACAACAAAGTCTCCCTTGTAAGATTAAAGATATTGAACATTGTTCCAAAAAGTATTTTTTTTTTAAAGATATTACTTATTTATTTGACAGAGAGAGATCACAAGTAGGCAAGAGGCAGGCAGAGAAGGGGGCGGGGAGCAGGATCCCTGCTGAGCAGAGAGCCTGATGCGGGGCTCCATCCAGGACCCTGAGATCATGACCTGAGCCAAAGGCAGAGGCTTTAACCCCCTGAGCCACCCGGGCACCCCTAAACAGTTTTTAAAATACAATATACCAAGATATGTAAAGAGGTTTAGAAGAAAGACCGCACAGCATGTTTGAGGCAATGAAAGAAATCCAGTTTGGCCCATGGAAAGGGGTCTGCCATAAGGTCAAAAAAATAGGCAGAAAGAGGCTGTTAGATAGGACTTTCATCTTAGTTCAGTAAAAGGCTTTTTTGGGGGTTTTCATATAAGTCCTCTGACTCTGCGGTTACTGCATACCGTAGTTGCCTACTCAAGGAATAAGTAAATGTTTTCTCTTCCGAGTTACTAAGGCAACTGTCAAAAAATAATAGTCTGTGCCTTCTAAATGATATTGGACTGCAATGCTTCAGTGTATGAAACCATTTTCTGTGGCTTCAAGGCGCTGGTCCATTTCCTAGATGCCTGCCTAACTCAACTTCTTTAGGCTCTCTAAATGAGGACACAAGTTTCTCCAAACCATCCTAAATTTTGAGAGGTCATGCCCTTTATGAGGTTAGCTGGCCGACTCCTCCTTCAATGATCTTGAATTCCTTCTGCTTTTCACTGATCCTTCAACTCTAAAATTGGACCTCTTCGGTCAGGCATGTTTAACTTCTTTCAAGGCCTCTAGTTATCACTACGTCTGGCAGCTCTAATATGTGATATTATATCTCCCTCTATAAAGGGTAAGTCTCTCAGGACCTGTAGTCCCCTTGGTCCTTCCACTGTGCTAGTCACCGGGGTCAAGGGTCAAGCTAAGAGATGATTCCATGGCAGTTGGCAACCCTGACAGCAGGCCGGCCCAGATATAGGAGTAGTGGGGATTGGGATTTATCGTCTCTGCTCCGTAGGCGACATCAGGCCTATGTCCAATGCCTCTGCAATCACTGAGAGTTTAGACTTTGCTTGTCCTCCTGTGAAGGAGTAATCGAATCAGAGAAGAGCCATGTGAGATACTGGTGGTGGTCTCAGCTTGAAATCCCCCTCGCAATGGTGAATGTCTCATTCAGAAATATCCAGGCCATGAACGTGATGTTCTCCTCCTGGGCCTTAGTGTTCATGGCAATAGGAGTCCTCACAGAAGAATGGGTTGAACTGACACTGGAAACAAAGAAAAATACAATAAGCCACAGCCCCTGGATATGTTGTACCACTCTTTGGCCAGAAGGTCAGAACGACACCATGGAAAGAGATCGGGGGAGAGGGAGGGAGGGTTCCTCTTTCCTTGACTTCTACTTATCTCACCAGCTTACTCTCTGTTCTCTGGGACAACTTCTCCAGGCTGCCCTGTGCCCAGTTCCATAATCAATGGTTAAGGCCGACTCCCAAATCTCACCATTCTGCATATTTGGGGGAAAAGTTTAGAAGCTCCTAGACTTAATTGCTGGACATCTGAGAAGTGTTGGCAGTAGCCCTAGGGTAGTCAGTGCACCTAGAACAGGAGGCCATAAAAGAAAGGTAATTGGCAACAAGGAAATATCTTGTGTTAGCACTAAAGGAGGACAGGATGAATTGTATTGAACGAGAAATCTGAGAAAAGAAAAGGAGAAAAAGAGGCTTATAGAGACGCTAAGACAGAGAGCAGTTTCCTCTGGGTCTCGCTCCCATTCAGCTTCAGGCTCCCTGCCTCTTTTTTCTTTCCCCTTGCCCCTCTTTATTATTTAATCAAATCTTTTTACCCCAATTCCAATTTTTACCTAGAAATTTGTGTGGTCTTCAGGTGGAAATGAGCCTAGAAGAAATCTCTGTCCTTCTTTCAACACAGCTTCTGCTTTCCAACAGATGGCCTGGAAGTGGTCAGGATCATGATGATTTTGGTTCTCAACCTTTCTCTATTCCATAACTTGTTCCTGGGTTTGGAAGTCACTTATCTGATTCCTTCAACTAAATGTATCCTCTTCATCACTGCCTTCCTCAGTTTCCTCACAGGTAACTTCCTGGTTCCCTTGACACAGGCTTGGAGATTGACTTCATTTATGGGTCCGGGCTGTAGCCTTCCTAGTTCTCTGGCTCAGAGATTGAGCCTCTGAATTGGAACGACCACTAAGGGGGACGGGTTTTGGACAAGGTGCTAGTGTACAGGGTGGAGGCTTGGAAGTCAGGCATATCTTGGGTTCAAGGCTTGAGTAGAAGAGCCTAGGTTCCTCAAAAGGGACTTTTTTCTCCTTGCGTCTGGACAAAAGGTATCCTCCTGCTCTGTGCACTCCTCCTGTATCATCAAAAGCTAAGGCAAGGTCGATCCGTGTACTACTCTAGTTACAAAATCAGCTGGATCATCGTCACTGGCTACTTAAGCTTTTGCCTTTTTATGGCCTCTGGTGAGTATATTCAGGGCCCCTGATGGGTGATAAGAACTGATCAATCCCTGATAGAAAGGAGAGGAAAAAAGGATAGGGAAGGGACATAGGGAAAAGGTGCCAACCCTTGTGTATTAAATGACCAAGGTTCAAGTGGACTCACTCTCTGAGGGCAGCTTCTCTAAGGGTAGAACTGGAGATTAGGGCTGTGTGAAGTGTTCAGTAAGCTTGCTCCCAAGGGCAGCTCTCATGTCTGCCATTTCTACTGTCTTTCACCCCCTCCCCACTTCAGGGCAGAGATAGCCAGCAAAGTCATGACTAAGGAGGATGGCTGATACAGAATGTTTACTACTGTGAAGAGGGACAGGGTACCCTGGGTGTCCAGGGTGGTGCTGAGGCACTCTGAGGTCAGAAACAAGCAATTTCTGATGTTAAATGACCACGTGCCAACACTGGAGATCCTCCTTTTCTGAAAAAGTCTTTAAAATTTCATTTGGAAATGCACTTACAAACTCAGAAGCATGAGTCTTCAGTCTTCGGTGCTCTTGACATGCGCAGCATTTAAGCTATTTTGCATAGGCTTCTCATCTCTGCAGCTAACACCTCCCTCTCCCCCACGGTTTGGTTTGGGGCGGTTCAAAGGGACCCACTGGGCTCTGGGTAGGGGCCTCTCTGCTGGCACAGAGGGACGAGTTTCTGTGACTCTCCATTGTTTATCACCCTCTCTTGGCTTCTCTTTTCCCCAGGAACCATGTCTTTGCTAGAGTGCAAGCAGTCCACCAAGGTTTGTGCCTGCGTGACCCTCCTCCCTACCTCTCAGAGAGAAAGTCAGGACGTAGAGGAGTCGAAGGGTTCTGTTGTTTCTTCACCAAAGGCAGCCATGCCTCGTAGTATTGTTCACACAAGGAAAGATTCTCCAGACAGGTCACAATTCCAAGTGCGCCGTGTAACCTGGGCTCTATGATTTGACATTCGATCTTTCAGTACGTACATATCGTAATGGAAACCGCTTTGCCTAATGCGCTGTGTGTCTCCACAGCCGTATTGTCTTTGTTCGGCATTATTTAATGACTGTGCCTGGGTTGGTGTCTGTAAGAAGATCTAAAGGATGACTTTTTTTTTTTTTTTTTTTAATCCTGGCCTGCTGAACAAATAGTTTCTATTTGTTCTTACCATTTAAGAACATGTGTTATTCACACAATAAATATTATCTTATAACTAATACTTGCCGTATTGTTAACTATATACACCACAAAGATTTAAATAACATAGAATACCTTTTGTACTTTAATTTTGTTGAGAAATATTTCATTCAGAACACAAAACAGTATGATAAATGCCTGTGCACACATCATTCAACTTTATGAAATTTTAACATTATGCCTTATTTGCTTTAGATGTTTTCAAATTAAATTTATAGATAAAAGTGATATTCAGCTAAAAATTTCCCTAATCTCATTTCCCTCCCTTGTTTCTTTTCACAAAATAATTTTAATGATGCATTCCTGATCACTTTACATTCATGTCATTTTTACAACTTTATGCCTCCTTAAAAATGACATAGATTAGCTTTCCAAGTGTTCAAAGATTTATTAAAAGACTGTACAGATCATTTTTCTGCAACTTGTTTTTTTTTTTTTTAAGATTTTATTTTTTTGACACAGAGAGATCATAAGTAGGCAGAGAGGCAGGCAGAGAGAGAGAGAGGAGGCTCCCCACTGAGCAAAGAGCTCAATGCGAGGCTTGATCCCAGAACCGTGATGAGATCATGACCCGAGCCCAAGGCAGCGGCTTAACCCACTGAGCCACTCAGGCACCTTTGCAACTTGCTTTTTTTCCACTCAACTACGTGTTTGGTTTTGTGATTCATTCAGCTTTGTTCTACTTCGTTCATTGAAACTACAGTTAAGCTTTTAACTAATTTACAGTTAAGTTGATGAAAATCTAGTTTTCTTTTATTCTGCTATAGTGCTGCTATAAACGTTCTTATACACAGCTGTCTATGAGCTAGACTTTCTCTAGGGTATTTATCTGGGATTGGAAGAGTTGGATCAGAAAGTGTCTTCAGTTTCAAGTTACCTAAATGTTGACAGAATGATGTAAAAAATGGCTGTTACAATACATACTTCTACCAGCAGCATATGGGTGTTCTAGTCTCTTTGTGCCTTGCCAACACTTAGGTTTAATCAGTCTTTTTATTTTTAATCTCCTCTTGAACGATCGCTGAGTCTGCTCACCTTCTCATTTCATTATTGAGCTTTAGGATTTCCTCTTCTGTGAATTGCTGTTTGACCATTTTTTGAAACGAATTGTCTATTTCTTATCGATTTGTAGTTCTTATACATTGGAAACTAATACTAAGTGGTGGTGTCTTGGGTTTTAGGTCTTTTTGTTTTGCAGAGGTATTCAGATGAAGTGTAATACAATATATTAACTTTTCCTTTTAGTTGGTGCTTAACAGTGTCTTGTTTAAGAAATCCTTCCTTACTCTACACTTACTAGGAATAATCTTTGCGAAGTATATAAGGCATAGATGCAAATTTTATTTACTTTCCACATGGATAGCTATTTATTCAGAACATTTTTATGACTTAATTCCTTGTCTTATATATTTGTAACATAATTCCTACATGCATCAAATACATAGTTGTGAATGTGTTTCTGATCTCTATAACACATTTCATGGGTCTGTTTTTATAACCCTGTATGATACAGCACTCTAAATTACTATAGGAATAGAAAGTGTTGGTGTTTAATATGTTCAAGTGCTTGTTCTTGTTCCAAATGATTTTGATTTGTTCTTGGCCTTTTGGTCCCCATATAAATAGCAGGACTAGCTTATACAGTTCCACAAAAATCCTACTTTGATATGATTCATAATCATATTAATTTATTAATTTATTTGGGGAGAATTAACAATGTTAATAATATTTATCCATCCAATCCAAAAATATGACAACATGTATTTAGGGGTTCTTTCATGTCCTTCAACAATGTTTTATGATTTTTTTTTTCCCAGAAAGATCTTTTGTTAGGTTGATTCATAGGTAACTTGCAGTTTTGTGCTTTTGTGAATTGAAATATTTTATAATATTTTCTAGTTGCCTATTATTGGTGTAAAGTTGTTGATTTTTGTCTCTAGAAACTACTAAACTCTTAATTTGTCTTAATTAGGCCTTTTAATTTGTCTATATACTCTCTTATGTTATTCTTGAGGAAGACATATTGTCTGCCGAAAAGATGTTTATTTTCTTCCAATACTTTAATCACTTATTTCTTTTTTATTGTGTTGTCTTATTCATTGGCTCAGACTTCCAAGATAAGGTGAATGGGAAAAAAAAGATAGTAAGCATCCTTTCTGTGTTCTTCATCTTAATTAAAATGCCTATATATCATAATAGTTGGCATTATATACACTGTAGAATTTGGCATATTTGCCTCATCAAATTAAAGGACTTCTTCTTATATATCTCATTTGCAGAGTGAATTTACCAGAAGTAAATGTTTAACTTTATTGAAAATTTTCATGCATCTACTGAAATATCAATTTATTTTTTTTCTATCCCAATAATAGAATGTATCTTATATATAAATTATCATTTGTGGAAAATTTTTCTGTATTTTATTGTGAAATATTTCAAACATACAGAACAAAGTCGAAAACGATGTAATAACCACCTGTGTACTTATTGTCTAAACTTATAAAGCCTTAACACTATGTTCCATTTGGTTTAGATTGTTTTAAATTAAATTTTCACTCATCTATGTCCCTGTACAAATTTTCCCAAACTAATTTTCTTCTCTTGTTTCTCATTGTTAAACACTTTGAGTTCCTGGGAAAGTCCCTCTTTAGTCATGTTATGTTTGTCTTTATAAACTGCTGAAATAAATTTTCTAATTATTTTAGAATTCTTGAATCTATCTTTATTAGTAAACTTTGGCTACAATTTGTCTTCTTGAACTCTCTTTGCCCAGTTTATTTTTACATGTTATTTTCTTATTTTTATTTTGTTTTATTTTGGAAGAAAGTTTGAGTAACCTTTTTTGAAATATAAAATGCATATAGAAAAGATCACAAATGGTAAATGTATAGCTCTTTAAATCTTCACAAAGAGAACTCATCAGTGTAACAAGCACACAAATAAAGAAACAGAATATTAACAGCACCCTTGAGGTCTCCTTCATGCTGTTTGAATACAACATTTCACATTATCATCATAAGTCTTATTATAAATATATTTTAAACTTCATAAAATAGCTATCATTGAAGAAAACATAAGAGACAGTCTTTATAACTTTGGATACAACCATGATTTCTTGGTTATGACACCAAAAACATATGAAACAACAGAAAAAATAACTTAGACTGCATCAAAATTAAAAACTTATAATCAAAGAGCACTATTGTGGATACTATGTGTGAGCTACTGTTCTAAGTACTGGAATATTATGGTGAAGTAGATGTGCAAGGTCTCTCCTTTTGGTGGGTAGGGAGTAGCAGATAATACAGAAGTAAATAAAAGAACAAATTATAATTACCGATATAGATACAAGCTTAGAAAAGGCAAAAGGGATGAATAACTTAAAAAAAGAGAATTAGGCTGACAAAAGACTTCTCAAACCCAACTTATATCAAGGCATGAAGCAACACTTGAAGAAATTAAGGAGGAAAAAAAGCTGAAATGATTTTATATCCAACTAAGCATGCCTTCAAGTATCAAGGCTATTGAAAACAGATTTAAGCATGTGAAGAGCTCAGGAATTCTTTATCTATAAACCGCTCTTGAGGAATTTACTAGATGATGGACTTCATCCAGTGAAGAGGACTGTAGAAATACCAGTATAAATAGTGACAGTAAATATTTAATACATTTGATTGTAGATCTAAGACAAGAGCAAAATTTAGTATGATGATAGAATAATAATTTTGTCATATGAATATAACACGTGTTATGTGTTGTTTGCTCTGAAAACACTGGAAGCAATGCCCTAAAATAAGGGAGAAAAAGAGGAAGGGGAAGAGGAAAGTTGGAAAAAAAAAAAAAATCTCATTGTTATATAAGCAATAGGTGATATTTAAGGGATGCCACTGAAAATTGACCACCACATAGTCCAAAAGTAAATGAAAAGACAGAGGAATAAGGACTTTAAAAAGGTATATAAGCGGGGCGTCTGGGTTGCTCATTGGGTTAAGCCTCTGCCTTCGGCTCAGGTCGTGATTCCAGGGTCCTGGGATCGAGCCCCGCATCGGGCTCTCTGCTCAGCCGGGAGCCTGCTTCCTCCTCTCTCTCTGCCTGCCTCTCTGCCTACTTGTGATCTCTGTCAAATAAATAAATAAAATCTTAAAAAAAAAAAAAAGGTATATAAGCTTTGCGCAGTGGCAGTATCATAGCCAATGAGATTTGTCTGAGGCGCGATTATTGCTAGTTGAAAAATGTATAAATATCATTCATCAATCCATATCTTGGCTATTATTATTATTATTTTTAAAGATTTTATTTATTTATTTGACAGAGATCACAAGTAGGCAGAGGCAGGCAGAGAGAGAGAGAGAGGGAGGCAAGCTCCCTGCTGAGCAGAGAGCCGGATGCGGGGCTCGATCCCAGGACCCTAGGATCATGACCTGAGCTGAAAGCAGAAGCTTTAACCCACTGAGCCACCCAGGTACCCCGTATTATTATTACTTTTTTTTTTTTTTTTAAAGATTTTAGTTTTATTTATTTGTCAGAGAGAGAGAAGGAGAGAGAGCGAGCACAGGCAGACAGAATGGCAGGCAGAGGCAGAGGGAGAAGCAGGTTCCCTGACGAGCAAGGAGCCTGATGTGGGACTCGATCCCAGGACGCTGGGATCACGACCTGAGTCGAAGGCAGCTGCTTAACCAATTGAGCCACCCAGGCGTCCCTATTATTATTACTTTTTAAAGAATTTATTTATTTATGCATGAAAGACAGAGAGAGAGAAAGGCAGAG